TGTCAAACTTGATCTCAGCACCATGATGACTTGTTCAGGGTGAAGAAATGAGATGATGTGGATGTAGCACAACAGATTTTCTTGGGGGCATAGAATGCTGACTCCTTTTGAGTCGATTTTTCCGCCCAAGTATCCCAACTCCATTCTGCTCTGCGGCAGCTATGGCTCCTTCTACATCAAGATTGAGTGCGGAAAATATCCGTGGCAAGCTGAGTCACTGAACATTTCTGAGGTTTGCTTCGAATCTAAATCTATTGGTCATGCACATATTTGCCTACATAAACACATGTAATATATTGTAATATAGTATTGAAATTGAATCCTACATATTAGATTAGATATTCGATGAGCAACATTAAACTTTGACATAGATAATTTACTATGAATCGGTAGCTACTATATATATATAACTATATACATATAATTATACATATAATTATATAATATATACATTTTTTTTTTTAAAGAAAAATATTCTAGATAACTACGGCATATATACATATATATATACACACATATATTATATACACATGCATGCACGTGCATTCATGTGCATATATGTGCATACATGCATGTGTCCATCCATCCATACATAGATACATAGATACATAGCTACATGGCTACATACATAGCTACATACATAGCTACATACATAGCTACATACATAGCTACAAAGATGCATGCATGCATAGATGCATAGATGCATAGATGCATCAATAGATAGATAGATAGATAGATAGATTGATTGATTGATTGATTGAGATACATACAGACAGACAGACAGACATACAGACAGACATACAGACAGACAGACAGACACAAACAGGACAGATAGACAGACAGATACACAGACAGATAGACAGACAGACAGACAGACAGACTTACTTGACAGACTTACTTGACAGACTTACTTGACAGACTTACTTGACAGACTTACTTGACAGACTTAGTTACTTGCTTGCTTACTTACTTACATACATACATACGTACGTACGTACATACATACATACCTACGTACATACATACATACATACATACATACATACATACATACATACATACATACATACTTACACACTTACATACTTACATACTTACATACTTACATACTTACAGGCATACATGCATACCTGCATACATAGATACGTACGTACGTACATACAAAACCTATATGTGTGTATATATATATATTATGTATATATATATATATATAAACATGTGTGCCATAGTTGAAGCTTGGGGTAGGAGGTGCGGATGGTCCAGTCCAGTGTTTTCTCGAAGCTGAACAGCGCGGCCTAATCCGAGGGAGATTGTCAGCGCAGTGCAAGAGGAGCGAGCCCTTGCCATCCTAGTCGCAGTGTGTGTGGGGCAAGTTGCTCAAGTGGCACTAAGTCGACGAGGTCCTTTTAAGGCTGTCAGTAAAACTAAGTTGTTCCGAACCCCCTCGGACAAACCATGTCTGGGTCGTCGTAACAGGAGGGTCTCCCAATCTGCGTAGAATCTGACGACCTTTATCTTTCAGGACAAAGACCCTCGGGTTGTGCATTTTCCAGAGGCGGGGTTCTGATGAATTACTTGCATTGCAAGGAATAGAGAAGCAGCTGAAATTCCGCGGGAATAAGGACAGTGCAAAGGAAGTTTGTGTCAAGATTTCTCACTTCCAACCTGTGAATGAGTCTCTGTCTTTGAAACCATATAGATTGGGTCATGCCTATCATGACTTATTTTGCTCTTATCACATCTTATGACTTATTCCTTGTGACGGTATGTGGGAGGTGCTGACTCTCCGCATTCGAGAGTCGATGTGGGACTCCTTGGCTGGGATGCCCAAGGCAACCTCGGTGCAGTTGAGATTCCTGGGGCCATTTGGGCCATTTGGGGCCATTTGGGCCATTCGCCACTTCCGTGGAGAACTGGATTTCTTTTGTTTCCGCTTTTCTCATATTTTGTTTTACTTGCACCGTTGAAGATGCTTCGTGGTGATGTAGAGATCCCATTCATTCTGATACCAGCTTTTTGATCCTTGAAGGAAAAGGCACTGGTCAGATTTGGTCAGTCATGCCGAGGTGGAAATTACTGTTTACAGCAGCTATTTCATCGGAGTTTGGCCACTATGTCAGGCGTGGGTTGCATCGCAGGATTTGTGCTTTCGGTGGCAGTTCAACCGCAGCAAAGAATCTGAGTCGGAATTTTCAGGTCACCAGGTTGTAGGATGCTCGCGGATATGGACCCCATGTTCCGGACCCTTCTGGATGTTTCTTGATGATCCAGCTTGCACTTTCAGGTGAGATTGGATCCCCGGGCCATTGCAGACTGGGCACACGAGGCTGCAAAGAGCAAAAAGTCGTGACTTCTGGAAAGCAGAAACGATTCAAGGGGTATGAGTTGTTATTTGTTTCCATTTTTTGCCATTATCGTCAGTTTATTCCATAGGTGTTTGGTGTCTCAAGAGATATCCTCAGATCACAAGGCCCCTTTGTATCTGGTGAGGATGAGCCGCATTGCACCAAGAGGTTTGCCATGAAACCTGAGGATCCGAACAGGGAGGCGATCCTGGGGGAAGGGGATCACAAGATAAAAATTGAAAGTTACTGAAAGTAGTGAGAACATGCCGGTCTTTTTAGCGGAATGCGCGACAGGGAATCGGAGAGACGCCTCCTTGGCGGCCAACTTAGCTACATGTTCCAACAGAGCCGGATCGTACTCCTCTGGTCTGAAGTGAAAACGCAAGTTCTTTTTGCTGATGCCTGGTACTGACAAGGTGGGTTAGTGACAGATTCAATCTCGAGACTGTGCCAAGCTGTGCCAAGGATCAGTCTCACCTTTGGTGTGGAACAGGCAGATGTTCGTCGCCTGGACAGATTTCATGCCAACCAGACGATGTCAGTCCCTTCCTCAAAATGGGAACGGCACACGTCACAGCACACAAAAACAGCGAAACAGCGCCGAGGTGCGGATCGCCACATGGGGTTTCGCCGGCAGATGTTGTGCCACTGTCGGCCACAGTGCCGTGAGCGTTTTGCCAAAGGGCTTGCTGGGACGTTGACCCTCTTGGCTTTGCCAGATCGCTACGATCCAGTCACCAACGAGCCCTTCGAAGAACAGCCTTTGGCGGAGCCGTCATGTTGCTTCGAAAACCAAGGATAAGAGAGGCGGTCGCACTTATGCGAAAAACACAATCGCTCTAGGATTCTACTGTAGTTGGGATACCCCATGCTATATTGATAAAAACACGCAAAAAAAAAGTAGCCTATAGCCATATCGATTTTCGAGTAGGCTGTTTCCGACGTTTCCTGCGGTGCTCTCTGTGATGACCCTTGCTTTACTTCCGCGACAGATGGCGATGAAACACAGATTTCCGTTGGTGGACGGTCATGGAAACGCAGTTCAGGCCGATTGTCCATCACCCAAATGGCCCAAATGTATCTAATGAATTCTAATGATCTAATGTTCATTGCATATCCACGGCAGAATTCGCACAATGTTATTATTGAGATGCATCCAAGACCATCCAAGTGTCGTTCCGTGCAGATTTGTGAACCACTGTATTTCTTGGATTTTCTTGGTCCTTTTCTGGCAGGAGCCAGAGGAATCCGATCTGGCCTGGCTCAGTGGCATGAGGACAGGGCCAAATGACTAATGAAAGCCATGCTGAAAGGTTCCACTTGGAAGATCATGATGTTCTCCGATGTGGCTTCCAGTCAGCTTTGCTTCAGGAGTTGTCTTACCTGCTTGTACTCCATCCTCAGCCACTCGGAAAGCATTGGGCTGTTTCGTGCTGCGTTGCGAGTGGCACAATACACATTCTAATGCAGTCACTCCTGCAGGCCTCATCTGTTTATGTTTTCTTGCAACGTTTGGCTTTCGCAGGCACTGGAATGACCATGATTTGACATTTGACATGACTTGACCAAGTCTAATTGCTTCTTAGATGAGCCATGATGAGCCTGAGGTTTCTTTGTTACTCTCTTTGTTGTTGGGTATGGTTCATTCAGATATTACGCTTCAACCTCAGAGTGCTTGCAGTGTCGCTTCCATGATTCCTTGCCTTCACCACTCTGCCAAGGTGAAAAAATGCTACGATTCTTTTGAGACCTTGACCATTGCAAAATCGTCAGCATCCGAGAAACTTCAAGAAACCGTTGCACCAAGCACACAAGCCTTACAGCGATCTACAGCTTGTTCAAACGGTTCAATGTCATTTTCAATGCAGCGATTTGCAGACGGAGGTGGAAGCCCCATGAGTTCCCAATGCCAACATGCGCCAGCGTCTCAGAATGTCTCAGAATGTCTCAGCAGAATGTTTCAGCGTGAGCGGCATAGCTGACATAGCTGACATAGCTGACATAGCTAAGCAGCTAGGGCTTAAGGCTTCCAAGGCTTCCAAGGCTTCCAAGGCACAAATGTGAGCTCTGAGGCAATGCGATCCATCGACGCCATTTGCGCAGTGACACGACGCAAAGAGCTTTTTCTGGATTTGTGTCTTTATCTCGTACGCCATTGCAGCATATCCCAACTTGATGCTTTAGAGTCTACCCCAACTGCAAAGGAACAACAGAGCTGCAATGGCGAGATTGGTGAGATATCACATGTTTTATTCCTTTGGAGAACACGATGAAGCTGTCGTTTGTTTCAATGCCTAGAACCCTGACCAAACTTTTTGGAAGCGCTTGAACTCAGTGCTGTTCAAGATCATTCTTGCGTCGCCGAAATTTGTGAGGCGAAGCTAGATGGAACGGGCGTCAAACCTGGGCAGCATATTTGCAGGTGGATTTGGTTCCTGTTTTTCCCTGTCCAGCTTTGTAAAAAAATGTGAAGAATGTGTTTTTTTCATTTTTTTTCACCGAAGTCTTGCGGGAAACCAATGAGCCTTGTGAAAGTGTATGCCTTGTGAATCCGTGCATGATAGGCCGACCGATGAGTCTGTGGAGCTAACCTGTGCTTGTCTCAGCCACTACCAGTCACTCTCAGCTGCAAATGTCACCGGGTGCACTGAGGCGATGATCCTCCACAAGATCGACCGAAAGCCTTCAACTTTGTTTTGGAAGGCTCGAACCTTGGATCATCGTCGGATAATCACCGTATAATCATGTTGTGTCACATGAATCTGTGAGGGGCTTGATATCAGTTGTGTCACATGCTGATGCTCAGATCTCGGTCTTGGTCGCAACCAGGGTCTCCCGTTGCGTGCTTGGTGAATTGATCTACGCTGAACTTAGCTATTACGTACTGTTTTTGTTGCGTTTGCTTGATTTTCTTGGCCGGAAGTATAGCACACTTTGCTGTGTTCCAAGGTGCTTCCAGGATGTTTGCAGATACAACAATCGCATCAAGCACTACGACCAGGTTGCCTTTTTTGGGTCGGCCCGGCTTGTTGAATTGTGGGAATCAAACTTGGACGTACAAGTTCTATCTTCCTGGTTGTTGAGAAAACATAATCAATTTTGGGATGCATATATATATATAGTTTATTCATCATGTTCATTGCTGCCGGAAAGGTTTCTTCTTGAGTCCCATTCTCACATATACCTTGATCGTTTGAAAAGAGCTGAGCCAGGTCAATTGCAGCGCTTTGCTTCATCTTCTGCTGTTTTAGGTGCTCAGCAAGGGTTGATCTTGGTGCAAACGGCAATTCTTTGATTGATCTCTTTACAAGCCAAACAACGCATTGCCATGATATTTGTCGGTGACGTACCTTGTCATTTTGTTTTACTCTGGATCAAAACATTTGCCACTGCTAGTAAAACCACAATTTCAATAGTTGGTATTCATATCCAGCCACGGCAGGGTGGGAAAAATCTGTGACAAGAATAGGTCTGCCCAATTAGAGCTGATTTGACAATGTCGACAGGCCGCTGGCCAACAAATTTATGCAACAAATGACGTCAACCATGCAGAAGTTGCACAACAGTTATGACCTCAGAGCAGTCGGGAGAGCAGTCGGGAGAGCAGTCGGGAGAGCAAAAAAAATGCCATGTACACGGTGCTTCAAATCCGCCATTATGTGTGTGTGTGTGCGCCAAGAATGCACGCAGGGATAATTTTCACTAGCTTCGATTTTTGCCTGTGGCATGTTTTTTGCAGACCCCTGTTGCGAAATGCTGTTCTAGCATCTATAGTCTATGGCTATGTCATTGATGCGCAGATAGTCTGATCCAGAATCAAGTAGAATGTGGAGAACGTAAGACAACTATCTTTTTTAACAAAAGGGAAGCACTTGACGGATCTTGACGGTATTTACCTGCAAGCTTCTCCAGTGAGCCTAGGTAAGATTCACCAAATGTTGCACCGCGGGGTTTGATCCGCTTGCACGTGGGAGCTCTTCGCTTGAGGAAATGTTCCCCCGTTGTCAATGTTTTCGTTGTACATTACCTAGCAGCAGTGTTTCTTGCAGGGTCGCCCATGTGCTTCTGAAGAATCAAAATGAGCTGTTCATAGTTCATACAGTTCATACCTGTTCAATGTCTAAGCTTTCGGAGCGACATTGGCAACCCTGTAGTTTTCACGGACCATCAAAAGCCTGGCCGATCCCAATGTAAAGAAACCTTGTGGGCCTTGTGTCCACCTGCAAGTTGCCTTCACAACGGGTCATTGTGTTGCAGCCCACGGGGCAGCATCGGATGCTCATGGTAGCCACAGATCCATTTGTGCAGCTTGGGATCAGGGGCGACAGACGCTTTTGCAAAGACGTCACTTGAGGTCACTCCTGTCACTTTGATCATCCAACACTTCCAACCTGCCTTCAACATGGGAACCATTTTGGTCAACAAGTTGGAACAGGACATGCATCTACAAGTTGTGTATAGTCCTTAGGTGAACTGTGGTCCTTCGTCACTTTGCCATTTGCAGCCATATGCAGCCATGAAACGATGGCACCAGCTGAGAGGGCACAGAGCAGCTGCAGGGTGCCATCGCTGCCTGCCGCAGCCACACACTGCAACTGGCTGAAAATTGTTGAACGTGACATTGTATGAAATTGTTGTTGAGATGATGAACAAAGTTTTCCATTGCTTTTGCACCTTTCGTCCCCTTCCCTTTGGCCTCAAGTTAGATTAGGCAAGACAGACAGATGGACAGACAGACAAAGAGGTGGCCAACTAGCCAACTGATTGTCATTTGATTGTATATTTCATGTTTGTATAGTGTTTTTTGAAAACTTCATTTTTGGCCTGGAGGGATTGGCTTGAAGTTCATCAATACAAATTGTCTTGCGTGCGTTGATCAAGGGCCTCACCAGTGTCTTCATTGATTCTTATAAAAACAATGTATTGCTTAGAGCATCTGTCGCAGATCTGTTCAGGATTTGTTGTCCGTTCACCCCACCTCCAGCTGGCGATTCAGGCTGAAGTGCCAGCTGCAATCCTTGAGCCATGGCTGGAAGCCCATGGGCTGCTGATTGCCACAGTGATGGGTGACAAATCAATATGGGGATAGAAGTTGATGCGACCAACAATCATGCCCATGGAAGCAGATTAACTTGAAAAAATAATTTCATATCCAATTTATCAATCTGGAAAAGACTGAAGGCTCCAATAATTTCGGGGCTGGGCAGTTCAGTTGCAGCTGTAATGTCTAGGTCCTGGTGACCTTTTGGAACTGCCAAAGTCGCAGGTGTCTGGAACTCACAAGGGGAGAAAATCCACCAGCTTTGGTTTGTATTGTAGTGCATTGCCCACCTGTGCTCCCATGGCATCACTGCAGGTCCAGCCAGCTGTTGACACAAGGACGACGTGGGATCTGTGCTTTCAGTGGAAGTGACCCAAAACTCCCCCGACTCAAGGAATTGGGTGTGTCAACTGCCTGTTGGTGCCAAGCGACTTCAACTGTGCCACAAGGACGAGGCTATCACCCACTGAGCCAGTGCAACAAAGCTTTTGCGCCCAGATGGCCACTCTGAGAGCCGCAAAAAGTGTTAATTTTCGTCACATCCTGGCATTGCCGAACACATCGTGAATAAACAACTTGCTGGGCTCATTTCCACCATGGAAGGGCACACAAGAACATCAAAAAGGTTGGCCGGTTGGCCTTGCCCGCAATTATGCTTTTCCCACCTGCCAGGTCAGGGTCTCTAGATTTTAACAAAGGTGCAACTCCTTCTTCTGAGAGAAGGCCAGATAGAATGTCAAAAAGAATGGCAGACTAGATGCCCGATAGAATGTCAGACAGAATGCCAGATATAATAATGTCAGAATAGATGTCAGATAGAATGCCAGAAAGAATATCAGAATATTACATGCCAGAAAGTATAACGGAACAGATGCCATATAGAATGCCAGAAAGAATATAAGATAGAACGTCAGAGTATATGCCAGGAACAATATCAGATAGAATGTCAGTGTGTATGTATAATATATATATATATGCAATCTATACTTCCAGATGGTATGTCAGAAACTATGTGAGAATCGTGTGTCAGGGTGGGGATCACTCAAAGAAAGTACGTTTTGTTTTTCCTTGTGCTCGTGAATTCACCAAGCCAATTGCAATCCTCTTTCTGTTTGTTGCATGAACAAGGACAGCCTTGCATGCCCTGCGAATCTTCCATCCCATGATGTGTTCCACACAAAATTGAAATTATATAGATTATATTGATTATATGAAGCCTTGTCATCCCTTATCTAAAGCACCTCAACAGAGGTATCCTTGATGGGACGCTTGGTATCTTCAAACTTTGCTGGGAAGGACTATCCCAGCTATCATAACCTTTGATGGAGAAAATCATACAGCAAAGAACACTGGAAACACCCAATTTTGAGCCATGCAAGCCGAGCAGCTGGCAAGCCTCCGAGATAGAGAGCTTCAATTGCTCAAGGACACCAATCTTCATGGTGCTCACCTGCCACATTGTCCACCCAAGATGACCATGGCTCATGGGCCATTATGAGAATACAGCTGTTTGATGCTATTTGCATCTGCATGAAAAGGCCAGGATATCGTAAGAACCCAAATATGTGACTACAGGAGAAAGAGGAGATTCTTGCTGAACTCAAGAGGTGGGATGAGGAGATCTCCTGGAAGAAATATGCTGTTACCGGGCTTCAAAAAGTACATTACATTAGTTTTGTGTAAGTCCACAACTTGCAAGAAGAGGACCTACCATTCCTTGGAGGATACTACCCAAACTCCACTTTCTGGTTCCAGTTCAACAGATGCAATCCAGACGTCAACAGAACTGGGTGTAACTTAGGCTGAAGAATTGGAGAAAACCTTGGAGGCTCTGCGACAGGGAAGCGACGCCGGGCAGCTGCCTCGGTGTGCTGCAGAACTACGACAAGGACATGTGGGACATATGTGGGACATATGTGGGACATATGTGGGACATATGTGGGACATATGTGGGACATATGTGGGACATATGTGGGACATATGTGGGACATATGTGGGACATATGTGGGACATATGTGGGACATATGTGGGACATATGTGGGACATATGTGGGACATCCAGCATCCAGCAAATCTTTCAAAACGGCAGTTTCTCATAGGTTCTCCAAGATTTGAAGTTCCTATGGGTGGAGAATTTCTGCTTGGACTGCGGCCAGGAACTGCGAGCACCCAGCCAAAAGAGATTGTTGTGGAGGCGTGAGAGACAAACCGTTTGGTCAACATGAATTTGTGAAGGCTCGAGTGAAGAAAGAAACGTCTCATTGTCTCTCTAACCATGTCTACCATGTCTACCTGTAGTGTAACCACCATTTCAACACCATTCCACCATTTGTTGTCAGCTTGGCAGCTACATGTCATGTCATATCCCCGGTATTCCCAGGACACAGATGAGTTGCAACAGCGCCTGTCCGCAGCTCTGGCAGACCTGTCGAAACCACTGGAGAACCCTTGGAATGAGGCGCCAAACTTTATTGCAAAGCGTACGAAATGGGTGAAGAATCCGAATACACACTTTAATTTATATATTTTTTAAAATTGGAATTGATTGAGTTATCTATATCACTGTATATATATATACACACTACATACATATTTACATATATGGATATATACATATACACACACTTTAAATTACATTTACATATACATATATTTTGATGATTATAGAATTAATAATCATTCAGAGAACATATTCACGTCAACTTGCCTTCATGTCAAACTCGATCTGTGTTCAAACCTGCTGGATGTGGATTGGAAGCTGTCGGACCTGCATCATACGATCCAGTTTCCAATGTTATGTTCAAAACTTCTTGTTCTATTCACATGAAGACTTAACATTTGATACAATTTGATAATGTCAGCTTACGTCCAAAAGCAGATTGTTTTCGGTTTGAACCGGCCATTGAACTCTTATAGGAGAGCTTCAAGCGACAGTTTCACGCCGATGATGACCAGCTGGCAGACTTTTTGAAGGGCCTCACGGCGGAGCAGTTGCTCAACAGAACAGCTGAGTTGTGGACAGCCAAATAGGAAATAGGATGCAAATGGGATGCTCTTCCTGAAGTGGCTGATGATTTGATGGCGTTTCTCGAGAGATCCAGAGTATTCCAGAGTGAACAGCATGTTGCCAAGGCGCTTGGTGTGGGAGCTGCAGAATGTGCCGGAAGTCAGTCCTAGATTGGACCAAAGGCGTGGCGGGTTGGAAGAGGTGGGTCCAGGTGGCCAGTGACTCTGAAGCCTTTGACCATTTTTCATCATTTTTCCATATTTTTCCTCAAGAATCACTTGCCAGAGTTGGCCTTTCTACTCAGGCTACCTGTGCAACTCTTTGCATCGTTGATCACCTGGGCATTTGAAAATTTCAGCAAATCACAAGTTGACGAAACTGACGGTCCAAGCACTGCAGTCCACACTCTGCGGCAGATTGATAGCAGATTTGAAGAAAGCTGGAAAGAAGGCAGAGGCTGGACAACAGATAGGACATGTCCGGACTGTTTGGTAGTTTGTCACGGTTCCAAAGTGGGTACTGCAAACTAGGATGCATATCCATTCTGTTCAATTTATGGTCAATTTATGGTTATTAATAAATACCAATAAATATAAATCAATATCAATAAGACAGCCAGAATCGGCTGCACCTGGGAGGTGGATGTGCTAAGTGCTGCAGCGGGCGCTCCAAACGATGCGGAGCGGCAGTATCGCGCACTGCTGTGGCTTCATCACAAGGATTTGAGTCTCAGCTGAGTTCAACACAGCCAGTAACGAGCTGTTACCAGATATCACCAGTTAATCCGCAATGTAATGCAAGTTATACTGATCAACATATGCAATACTCAAAGACTCAAAAACAATAATCTAACATAATCTAACATAATCTAACATAATCCAACAACATCTAGCACTTCCAACAACTGATCCAGTTGTGTTGAGTCTTCGTCAAACATCAGCTGGCGGATTCTGTAGTCCCAGGAATGTGTCCCATGTGGAGCCAGGCAAGATGTGGATCCGCTTGAGCCTTGAGTCGTGCCATGCTTTGCCATGGGACTTTGAGTCGCTTTGAGTCGCCAGGAGCTGGATCTCAATCATTGCTCACCATTGCTTGCAGCGGCTGGGACAGAAATGTCTGAGTTTCTGCGCGTTGCTGTTGAATTCTAACGATCGGGACAAAGGATAAGCAGCCATCCTTGCAATCCAAAGATGGACAAATCAGTTTAAATCAGTTTGTATATTGTTTGAATAAGTTTTCATTATGCCACCCTTGTGAGATGTTTGTAGATTGTTCGTAGCCGTTGGACTGGTGCGCCTGATCAGCCAAGGACATGGTCATTGTGATGTTGCTGCAGCGCTGCTTGAGCGCAAGGCTGATAAAGCAGAGTGTGGGCCCAGTTCATCGTGCAAATCCAATGATTTGTCAGGTTGAACAGTGTCAGCCCTCCTATCCTTCCCACACCCAAATGATGAAAACCTCCATGGTCATCATATCACCATTCATCACAATCCATATTGGGTGTATGGTATATCTGACCAAAGCAACACTTGCAGACACGTGAAGTCCGTCTCCAGGCAGACATCAACCACAGAAGCAGCTCACAACTGACTGCCTTATCCGCAGCTTGCGAGAGAGGTAGCGCCTTGGATGCAGGCTGCAGCAGGCTGCAGCAGGCTGCAGGCTGCAGGCTGTGGGGAGCGGTCCAGGACAGTGCGCTGAGATCCCAAGGTACGAGTTGCGCACGGTTGCTTCTGCAAGCTGCTGCTGATTGCAACGAGGCTAGATTGAGGAACCTGGGAACCGGAAGGTCAGAGAAGGTCAGAAAAGGCTTCATGGTCCTTCCACAACTTCCACGCTTGTGCACCACTGGTCAACAATCACTGATTTGATGCGTGGAGGCAAGCAAGGGCTGTAGCATGCTCGCAGTTGCTGCCCGTTGTACTGCTCCGGATCAAGGTGGAGCCAATGCTGAATGGCAGCATTCTCCATGAAAATACCGCCATTATCAATGAAATACTGAAATACTTTTCAATATCTGTCAGAATTCTGTCCGTATCCCCTTGTTTCATAGACACTGCGTTTGTGCAGCTCAACAAGTTAATTCAATTGAGGCTCTTGTAACCGCCTTCTTGTCCAGAAGCCGTCGACCTTGCTGCTGTTCGAGGTCTCGCCCTAACGAAGCTGCTCTTGGCTTTCCGTGCTGACACAAACCAGGCCGGGACGGGCCTGGCCTAAACTCACAGTCTCATTGAGGTTTTCCAAATCAGGGTCCAGTCAACGTCTGGGAAGATGGGGAAGAAATGCGACTGGGTGTCTCTGGAAAGGCCGACCCTTTCGGCCAAACGCCACTGATGGTTGCTGCAGCAGCGCGAAATCCGCGCTGCTGTGAAGCTCTGTTGGAAGCTGGCGCATGCGTGACAGATGAAGACAATGAGGCTGGCTGGTGAGAAGAGCTGGAGCTGCAGAGTTTTTTCTTGGGGAGACAACGCGAAGAGTTAGCAACATGCAAGCAGTTTACTTGGAGGGCTTGGATTCCATTGGAAAGTAAATATATAATGTAGAATCCAAGATATGCAGTCTCCTACTTTATCTGAACCACCGGAACGAGGGGGAATGAAATCCAGGTGTCTCCTCTTCCCAGCAACATAACCTTATTCAACTTCGAGACTAAATTCCCCTATTGATCCTATGTTCCATTGTACATGTCTTATCATGTCTTCTGTTTGATAGAATCTTTCTGTAACTTTCTTTGGGCAGGGTGTCAAGGGGCTGGCGTCAGGGCAAGAGTGCTGCGAAGCGGGCCAAAGAGCAAGGTCTTGATGGTCTTGCAGCCAAGCTGTGTGCAGACGAGAAATGGAAGTTGCAACAGTTCCAGGTGGCTTGAGTTTTTGTTTGAATGCATCTGAGCTGATCCAATGTCTACCCTGAAGACGAGTTGCTTATGAGCAACGCACAGAATCTAAAGGTCAGGTTGATACCCGTCAAGATTCAGTGACATGACTTGCACGTACTTGAAACTGCGTGGTGCTGAGCACGTTGTTGAAATTCCGAGTACAAACCAAAAACTTGAAACGACCAACAGTTGGTGCCAGTCGTGTGATCCGCGGCCATATCAGAGTTGTTCCCAGAGTGCTAAGACACAAATCTCAGGGAGTGCCCTTGCCCCCCAAAATCCAGCTGATGAAATAAGGAAACTATGGTAAAATAAAGATTCACAGCAAAGTGCCACGCTTTTCCACCAACTTGTCGTCATCGGAGCTGAATCTGAGCAGAGCAGCAACATGCCTGAAGCAATCATTCCCAAGCCAACCATATGGTAACCATCAGAACGTTGCAGGGATAAGATCGCCAGCATTCGCCAGCTCCTAGCTGCAGTCGGTTCTGCAGCCATGGGGTCGGAGACGAAGGCGCTAACGTCCAAACTTGACCGCTTGGAGGAAAGGCATGCTGCAATCAGCACAGCCTGAATTTCTCTTGAAACACGGGAACACAGTCATTGCATATATCTTACATGTTTCCTCATGGGACACAATGACATTGTACCCGTGACCATCCATGACCCATGATGCGTCCAAGCCACCTAGTCGGCACAGACCACCCAACAGAATCATCACGAATCTGACTCTAAAGAAAGGAAACCTACCAGTCCGAGCAAAAGCACAGCTTGCGCTTTGAGCTGTCGAAAATTGTCGAACCTTTGCCAGGTATATGTCGGAAATTTGTCGCACAGTACCACCAAAGAAAGCCTCGAGTGCGGCGCTTGAACGATTTAGATAGACTCTTTCTGCCCGTGGGAATGATAGGAAGCTGCAAGTCAAGCACTCCTGCTGTTTCCAAGGGATTGGACAGGTAACGTTTTGCCATGTTTTTCAATATTGATAATATTGGTAGCTCAGAAATCCGACGTTGACCCTGCAAGACTGAATTTGGTACAGCTTAGCACATGGAAACCATTCCGCGACGGTGAAACCAAGCAGGTCGTCTCGACTGACGAGTTGTGCCAACTGTCTGGGTGACTGTAGTTGGATTAGAAGGTAGATTCCAGGTAGACAGATGCATCTTAGGTAGTGAGTTGGTAGTGATGTAGTTTTTGCATCCAGATTTCGCTGAGCGCCCATAGCGGCCAAGTTTCTGGCATGAACCAGCAATTCATTCGGAAGATATCGGAAGCAACATGATTTGTTAGCGCTTGCAACCTATGTTGCGATTCAGATACTTTCACAGTGTTTCCCAGTTCTAAGCTCCCGAGCCTTGCTTGGCCAGACGTGCGCGCCAAATGGCCTTATTCGTAGCTGAAGTAGCCGAAGCTTATCAAAGCTTTTAGTCGCCTTTCCCAATAGTTCAGAACGATACCTGAAGTAGATACTGCTTAGATCAGCTTAGCATCCGCTAGAAGACTTGTTTCGCTGCAAAGCAGCGCTGGAGGCCCTCGAATCAAGTTGAGGTCTTGGAATTCTGTTGGTTCCACTTGATCCAACCCCTGAAGTTATCTCAAGTTTGGAAACACTATACAGGAATATACAGGATCTCTTTACTTTGTTTATTTTAATGGACAGGCCTCAGACGGAGCCAACCCAACTAAAGGTGGCATGACAATGCTATAAAATGCTATAAATATTTGATAATAATTTTGTATGTATTTGTAATATTTTGTAATGTTGTGATTGCGGAATTTGAAATAGATTCTGCGATGCGCACTGATTCCAACTGCAGGGATCACTTTGCGCACTACGGCGAGATTGCTGAATGCGTGGTGATGACCGAGAAGGACCTTTCTATCCTTTCTTGAATGTGCAAAATCTGGCAATTCATGGGGTCTTTGGTTGGATGTTTTGCAAGTGGTTTTGGATCGAGTCTAAATACAAAATATGGTTGCAAGTGGTTTTTGATGGTTTTTGGCATGTTTTTCATTTTTTTGATGTTCACCATGGAGTATCAGGGTATCGATTTTGATGCATTGTCGCAAAAACGCCAGAGACATGGATGTTTCATGATGTTTCCATGTTTTTCCCCTAATTTTCTAGAAATGCCTGTCGAGAACGAAGTGCTTCACTAGTTCACCCGGAGCTGGGATTTTGCAACTGACCTGTTAACACTGTACAGCTGACAACACTTTGCACTTGGAGAATCTTGGAGATTTATCAAGCAATTTAGTGACGCCATCTCATATGTGGAGAAGCCTATTGTGGATCCCATGGTCTATTGTTACCACATATTTGTGTGTAGTAAAATTCACTTGAGAATTGGAGACCATCAAAATCCATCAGAGATGTCCATTAGGTCTTCAACTTCTCAGGACAGCGGCCGCTCTCGTGGCTTTGGCTTTGTGACGTTCACCACGAGCGCCGCGATGGATGCGGCTGTTCGTCCGTGCGCCCAGAAGTGGTAAAAGGATGTGGAGGTCTGATGGAAATCAACCATATATCAGATGGATTTGCTGATCTGCATACAGGAAAATCCGATGAAACCTGGTTCATCCTGGTTCCATGGCATCTCCAGTTTTGAAAACCCAACAATCCGACACCTTGTAGTGGTCATAGTTCGGAGCAGCATGACTCGACGCGAATGGATCATTTGTGACTCACTTCCTTGCCTTACATGGTGGCATTGTGCCGAGGTGCTTCCCATGAGATTGATGGTCGAACCGTGAATTGCAAAAGGGCCAGGGGGCCCAGAATCCTCGGAATCCGCCAGGGACATGCCATGCCAGGCCATGCCATTGGATGCAGATCACTGAGAGCACCTTTGCGCCAAGGCCATGCGGGAGACGAGGCATGGTGGGAAGCATGGAAGCACTGACCTGACCTCAGTCATGGAGTCACTGTTGACACATGTTGAACGATGCGATTGAACGATATTTGTGAGTTTGACTGGACTTGGAACTTAATGTCTAGGATGATGGCGGGGGTGGCATGTACAACGTCGTCAAGATTTTTGTTGCCTTGCCTGCATGGTTGATCATGACCTTTATCTCTTTGCCTGCCACTGCAGATTGATACTTTTACAATCTTTTAATCTTTTACATATATCGTTTTCCAGGACAGTTTTCGTCATATCGAGCCATGGATTCGGCCATGGAATGGCAGGGCGGCTTGCCAGCCACCTGCGATCTGGAGAAGCTCAAGGAGCACTTTGGACAGTTTGGCGCGATTCAAGATGCTGTGGTCGAACCCCAAGCGCTTCAGGTATAAACATACTGTCATGTCTTGTCCACCCGTCCAAACGCAATCTCTTTGGATCCCTGCACTTCAAATTGAGCAGGTATTTTAGGAAGGACAGACTGGCCACACCGTCTTGAACAAGAGTATAATCTGAAAAAGCAGACTGCTGAACCCTCACTGGATTCCTCGACTAAGGTGATGATGGATGCTCAGACGCAGAGGCAATGTGTGATGATGGAGCACTCTCTGTGAATGGGAACACATTTTTTGGGGGGTTCAAGATCTCCCAGCGAGTGCAGGAAAACAAGCGGTGGGATAGGGACAGCAGCGATATGTGATTACGCATGCAAGTGCATGCGATCTCTTCACTTTCACATGTTTGCCAAACACACATGTACTCCAAGATGTGAGTAGTATGAGCTTTTGCTGTCATGCATCCATGGATCTGCACCTTGATATAGTAATATATATATAGTCTAGTAATATATAGTACATAAAGTAGGCTGTGCACATTCGAAGTTAAGCCATCAAGGACAGAATTCATGCCACTCGATGCATCTGTGGGTTGCCACAGGCACCGTGGCTTTGGATTTGTGACTTTCAAAGAGTCCAAAGGGGTCGAGGCATCGCAGTTGCACCATTTTCGCCATGCCTCTGGGGTTGGCAGATGCACTGGATTTGGGTTCTCATAAGATTTTCCATTTGGATTTCAGTAGGGAAGTAATGGAAGCAATCAAATAATCTCAGATATATGCGGTAGCCCTAAATGTGCAATATCATCTACAGTACTTGTGGGGTGGTTGATACCAAAATATACCAAACATGTCATTGATGCATGAAATATGACATTTTAGCTTACATCAAGTGGTTGTATTGATTTTATCATGGAGTGGTAGGCCTTGTCCTCGAGATACGGACCTTGCATTTTGTTCCATGTTCATGCTGCTTGACACGTTTCACACCAATATTGCCAGAATATTGGTATCTCTGGCAACTGCCTGAACTTGTGGCTCAACCTGGAACTGGAGGGCGCTTCCATCCAGCGGCTAGCTGGGCATCTTGACGCAAAGCAGTTGATGCAAAAAGGGCATCCATTTCATGTCGGCCAAGCAACCCGCTGGTAGGCAGCGCCAGAGATACTGTAGATGCTATAGAACTGAATGTTGTGGCTGAAGATTGAGCTGCTTGGGATCAACCAAGGTGCAGGGCGCGCTTCCAGAAACAATTGTAGCTGCAGAGGTGGGGACCTGTGCAGACACTGACCCTCCGTTGAGCCACGCGTTCGACTGCTGAGGTGCCACATTTTTTGGTGCCTTTGCATCGAGGTCACCTAGGCATATGGCCTCGAGATGGGTTGGGCATGCCATGTGCCTTGGCTGAGGGAATTCTGGCTGCGCTACGAATGGATTTGAAGCCGATGTTGTGCTGAGGTCAACTAGCCTTTGTTTGCTTCTACTCGCATCTAAGCTGCACCGAGACCAAGACTGCCCATTGTTTATTGAATTGCCTTCGGCAAGCCCGTCGGCCACATAGAGGTCGCCCCAAGGGAGTTTGATGTGCATTCTAGGTGGAAGCCCGCGAGAGAGCAGAAGAAAAAGAAGGAGAAGAAAAATAGGAACAAGAAGAAGAATAAGAAAGGAAGACGAAGACAAAGCCGTAAAACGGAAGCGGCTTGTGTAGCAAGGTTTGCTGTAACATGCTGTAACATGCTGTAACATGCTGTAACATGCTGTAACAACCTACTGGCCGTATACCAAATTAGTACCGCCCCAGCAAAGTAGCGCCAGGTACTATGCATGAGCCTCTGTCTTGACAGCAGACCGCTGCATGGAAGGAGAGAGGGGGGAGAGAGATTGCCCCAAGGGAGGTTGACGTGCACGCTACGTGGAAGCCTGAGAGAAGAAGAGACGAAGACAGAGCCGTAGATCAGAAGCAGCTTGAGTAGCAGGCGCGCGCTTGAACCACCAATGGAACGCATACCAAATGAGTACTAGTCGATCAGTACACAGTGTGCGTCCTGTGACGAGTAGCTGTAGACGACGGTAATGCTGTAGGCAATGTCATTAGCTACTGGCACTACCAGGTAGTACTTTGGGAAGAAAGGAGGAAGGAGCAGAGGAGCAGAGGAGTAGAGGAATCGGAGTCGGAGTAGGCGTCGGAGTAGGCGTAGGAGTAGGAGTAGGAGTGGTAGTAGTAGTGGTAGTAGTAGACAGACAGACAGACAGACAGACAGATAGATAGACAGATAGATAGACAGACAGACAGACAGAGAGAGAGAGAGATAGATAGATAGATAGATATGCATACAAACACACACACATATATATAAATATGCATATATTCAATATATAACTAGTAATGTCATATGATAATATATTGTACATTATTGTGCTACTACTCCTCCTCCTACTACTACTACGACGACGACTACTACGACTACTACGACTATACTACGACTACTACGACTACTGCGACTACTACGACTACTACGACTACTACGACTACTACGACTACTACGACTACTACGACTACTACGACTACTACGACTACTACGACTACCACGACTACTACGACTACTACGACTACTACGACTACTACGACTACTACGACTACTACGACTACTACGACTACTACGACTACTACGACTACTACGACTACTACGACTACTACGACTACTACGACTACTACGACTACGACTACTACGACTACAACTACTACTACTACTACTACTAGTACTACTACTACTAGTAGTACTACTACTAGTAGTACTACTACTAGTAGTACTACTACTAATAGTACTACTACTAGTACTACTACTACTAGTACTACTACTAGTAGTACTACTACTACTAGTACTACTACTACTAGTACTACTACTACTAGTACTACTACTACTAGTACTACTACTACTAGTATTACTACTACTAGTACTACTACTACTACTAGTACTACTACTACTACTAGTACTACTACTACTACTACTAGTACTACTAGTAGTACTACTAGTACTACTACTAGTACTACTAGTACTACTAGTACTACTAGTACTACTAGTACTACTAGTACTAGTACTAGTACTAGTACTAGTACTACTAGTACTAGTACTACTAGTACTAGTACTAGTACTACTAGTACTAGTACTACTACTACTACTACTACTACTACTACTACTAGTACTAGTACTAGTACTAGTGGGGGAGGGGGGGTGACCTTGATTCAGACGCAGCAAAAACGCGCACCAAGAGAACAAAGGAACAAGTACAAGCCAAGAACAGAAACAAATACAAACCAAGAACAGAAACAAGAACAACACCTTCCAATCAGACACGCCGGCAGGCCGGCGGATTTATGGCTACAAGTAGTGACTTGCTAAAGTGGTTCGTTGCCGGCACTGCACCCGTGTTTTCCCTTCAACAGCTGCCCCTTGCCAGCCACCCCTTGCTGCCAGGTTCTACAACCAATTGCCGCTACCAAATTTGTTCAGGATGGGAACTCGGTGGGGAAACTCAGCCATATGGTGGACACTGTGCGACAGTGCCATATCCATTCAAATCCACCCTCCACCAAAGCTGATCAAAGCTGCCTGGTTGGGTTTTGGTAGTCACCGCGTATCAAATGCCTGCTCTTGGCTGCATTATGCAAATTCATGCCTTTGAAATGAAAATCAATGACGGTTAGGTTACTGGATGTTTCATGATGTTTCTGCATGTTAATTGCACGAGTGGCCTTCCATTCGAACAGGCTACTACGTTAGGGTTCCATCATGTTCCATCATTCATGTTCCATTTACAATGTCGAACCAGGGCTCTAAATGAAGTAACTGATGATCCTGGTGGGTTGCCCTTCAAAACTTTAGCACATGGCGCTTGATGAGATCGGTATCGGTCGTGAGGCACTCTCGAATGGCAGAAGATCCTTTCGTGCAACAGTCCCACTCTGAGTCTGACATACGGGTGCGTTCCTGTATCAACACTATTATCAACATTTAAGTTGGCTGATCAGCTGACCATGAGAATCCTCGCATCCGCCCGGAGTCGCCCGCTTCTGACCTTCTGTCAAAGAGGTGAGTGCAGTTGACCTGGCCAGCAAAGTAGCAGTAGCAGAGAAGGCCAGATCAGTGAGACTAGTGAGAGTGACAGCCAGCTCACACCTTTTGCATCTTTTGCTCTGGTACACGTAAACACTGATAACGATCTGGCAAAGCTTGCGTCCAGGATTCCACACATTTGCTGATCCGCAAATGTGACAGGACGGTAGCCTCCAAAAAGGATCTACAAACGAAGCCGTCGATCAGGACTGCAAGAAACAGCATCTGGCTGCCACTGACAGGTGGAGAAGGTGAGTTCCGGTTCCCGATCTTTGATCATCCTTGATGATCTTTGCAGTCTGTAGGAGTTCACAACTCCATCCAAAGACTACAGCATTGAGTGTCTTGACAGCAAACACCGTCACATACCAATCATACCAGAACTGCGGCACTGGCACGGAAGATACAGAAGCGAGTCTCTCCGACTCAACTGAGGCTGAGTAATCATTTCAATGTCCAATATAGTGGTCGATTCACAATTGGAGACTTGACTGCAAGATACTGCAAGATACTGCAAGACTGTAACAGGAAGCCAAGGCGGCGCTCAGAAATGTCAAAAGGATCTGATCTCATCCGATCTCCAGAGATCTCCAGAGATCTCCAGAGATCTCCAGGCTTCAAATGTCTGACCATTGATATCTCACCTGGCCCCAGGCGATCAGGAACTACCCATGATTTATGACACAGGATCCTTCGAGGCCGGGGGTCGGGTGCTTGAACTGAAGGACTTCAAAGTTGCAACACTGCAACACGCGCTTTCTCCAAAATGCATCAAAATACCTTGTTTAAGGAGGCTTTGGGGTTATGTTTCTATATGTCACGATTTTGTGCACATTCCAATTGACCGACTATCAGCAGATCGAACCTTGGTGAACAGTTTGATTAGGCCATTGTCACCATTTGTCACCTGCAGGTTCTAGTGCTCTCTACGAAGTGCACAAACTGCGTCAAGACCTTGTCGATGCTTCTTGGCTTCACCAAAACCAGCTCATGTCATTGCGCTGTGATTGGTGATGCAAGCTGGAGATACTCGTTGGCCGTTCACCACGGTACGGATCAGTGAAGTTTGGATGCCCTAAGGGTTTTGGAGTTGTAGAATCGCCAATTGAGGTATGACTATAAGAAGTCACACTCTTTCAGAGAAAGTCCCTCGCACGTGACAGCCTTGGAGATCCTGACACGTGCATCACAGGATTGGATTGTCAGAGCTGCTCGTGTTGAGCTGGAGGCCATCCTTTGAGGACTCATGACGCATGAATTTGTTGTGCAAAAACTCGCAGGTGGTTGCTGAACACGCCTTCGTCAGTGGCGATGTGGTCACGGCGGAGGCAGGTGTAGGGATATTCTGCCAGGCCAAGCCAAGATTTCCTGATATTTCCTGGTAAAATATGGTAAAACCCCTGACGTTGTTTGATGCCTTGGGAACACATGTCCTCAGTACTGGCAGTGCTGGCCATGTTGGCTTTCAGATTTTGTTGCGGCAGAGGCAAGTGCCCATGAATCGCATGTGTTTTGTTGTCAGGGCTTCGAGACCCTTCGATTGGGTGGAAGAAGCCGCGCTGCAGTTATCGCGAAAGTCAGTAGCATCACAATCTTAAGATGTTGGAACCTGCATCGCGTTGAGCAGTGTTGAAAAAACAAACCTCACCCTCTGGACTGCTTGGAATGAAGTTTTGCTTAGCATTGATATGCATTGATTTATCATATCCCATTATATAGATAGTAATTTGATGCAATTTGGGTTTCGTACATTACAGCTGGTGCAGGACTTTCTCCATCCAAGTTGTTTGGCTCTTTACCTCAAGCCTGTTCTCCAAGGAGACTCCGCGGTAGACGCGAATGACATGACCTTTTGGATGGTGCAGAAACATGAGTTGAAGTTTTGGAAAACTGGCAATGCTTGGCCCCCAGACCCGAGGGAAATGGCACTTGGACGCAGGTGATATCAGGTGATGCTTGCTGGTTGCTCAATATTGTCCAATGCTCCAATGGAGCGGCGGATGAAAACTCACCTGAGGCCATCTTTTCTGGAATTGTTGGACTTTCGCACGTGATGCTTGTCTGATCTTGTCTGCAATGACTGGCCAAACCGAAGAATTTGGTCGACGGTCGAGCCACGACCACCAGCATTCTTTTTCTCGTTCTCACAACTTCCAGAGTGCATACTTTCTTTTTTGGTGGCCTTCATGATTCACAGAGGGTGTCGCATTGTTTTGTACTTGCACGTTAGAAGTGGGAAAGGAAACGAATTCCTGATGGTTTTGGTGGAGATGCCGCGGAGGATAGGCCAGGCATTGAAGTTGTGGCAAGACCTCCAAAGACTTTCAATCCACTGGAAATCATCGTTTTCCTGGGTCAAATGGCCATTGGGGGGTAGTGTATACATCTGTATACCATGGTATACCTCACGCGTTCACATATTTTCAGACACCCGACGACGGTTTCCGATTTCAGGTCGCTACTCGAAGAGATGCATGTGGATGCGTGTTCGCACTCTGCTACCAGCGAGGCCATCGGGTAGCCCTGGGCCTGGGGTGGCTGTTGGGCGGTTGCCTCCCAGGTGGCTTGAACAGTCCAGGCTGGCTGAAGCGCTTTGGATGCACTCGGATGCACTGGACATACTTGGAGAATCCATGATAATCCTGGATACGACATGAAAGAAATGAAAGGTCTATGGCGATGTGCATCACTGATGCATTGTGAAAACTGCTGAATCCATTCGGCAACTGAGGTTTGGACCTTCCATCAGTGCAATGTCTCGTGACCGCCGAGGCCCATGGAATTTTGATCCTGCGCAATTTGGGATGTTGATGATCTCTGGAATGTCAACAGGGCCTGGATATGTGTTCATTATTTTTTCAAGATACAATTTGCATGTTGGCAATACCCACAATATTCACATCCCATACCCCAGAAGTTGGTCCATTTGATTTACACTTAAAGTGTTTCATACTGTTTCCAAAGATCTTGGAGCATCTTGGAGCATTTCTGAAGAAAGCAAGCTTCATTTGGCCCATATCACACATCATTCTGAGCGGCTGCCCTCCATGTCAGGCTTTCAGTCTGTTGACGTCTCAGGGGATAGCCATTGGGCAACCAAGTTGTCCAAATTCAAGGCCACCGGGATGGAGCTGAAAGAAGTTTGGCTGACTTTGGCTTGAGAAGCGCAGATACACTTTGTCCATGTTCAAATATTATCATATGACTCATATGTCATCATGTGTTCTCTACACCAAGTGCTTTGAACATCTTTGAACTGGACGGAGCTGGTAGGTGGACCTGGACGGAATTGATACCTCCTCCCTTTGCCGACCTTCCTGTTGGGAGCTCAGCCATGCTCAGCCAAGGCTTTGGTGCTCAGAGCTGAAGTTCGGTTGTGTTACATGGGCCCATCCGGGGCCCATGTCAACAACTCCTGGAATGAACATGGAGCCGAAAGCACTGAGGGTAAGCGGTAAGCTGTTAAAATATGTTAAAATGTGAGAAGCAGACTTCCAAAACATTCCAAAACCTTAAACCAAAGAGGGATGAAGAGGGGAAAAAAGTGGAACATGCTGGAACCAACATGTTGTGTGATGCATTGACACCAAGGTGGGGCACTGATCGACTCAGGGACGTCGCTGTTGACTTTCCCACGATCAGCCAGCCACATCACAGAAGCACTCAAGCGCAAGGTGGGGTGCTTGGATGCCTTTTCTGGTGCTTGGCCACCCATTGGTGCTATTGTATCTATTTTGGGGGCGGTCGTCTTCAGTGTAATCCATCATCATGATCATATTTATGAGATCTCGTGAGAATCTTCACACTGTTGCGGGCATCAAACACTGGAACAAGATCACGAAATCCTCTCATTTTCCCTAGGAATCCAGGAATATCGCTCCAAAACTCATGTGTTGGAGGTGAAGAGTGATTGCAGCAACCTGGATGAGCTTCCAACGTTGTTTTTCGAGCTGGACGGTGCGGAGGCAACTTGTGCATGAAGGCAACCTTTTCCTGATGTTTACTGCACGCAGAGCAGATAGCAGATGATCGCAGATTCCCTTGGAGGTGGTGCTACCTCCACGAGCCTACATCTTCAAGGCGATGTGGCGGATGTGGCCGGTGTTTCCGCGGAGTTTCTGCGTGGCAAAGAGTTTGTCACGAGGTCACCGAGAATGGTTCTCCTGCGTGCCGAGGGGCTTTCATGAAGGTGGACAAGGCCAGACGGTCAGACATCTCGCATGCCCGAAAGGTGCACAAGTTAGAAGATGTTCATAGATGTTCAATGTATCCATTGCCAATATTGCCAGGAGTCTCAATTTGGAGAAGTCTTCATTTTGGGAATGCCCTTCTTGCGTTACTATTTCACGGTTTTTGACCGCGCCAACAAGCAGGTTGGGACACTGTTGAGATATGCAGTCCTCTACGGTGCTGTACCTTCAATATCCTTCAGTGGTTGCTAGGTACATATCGCCAGATCCACCGAGGACTGCAAGGCACAGCTTGTCCACGGCCTTGCTGTACCTAGCAAAATTCTTCTTGTTAGGTTGGAATCGCACCATAGCAATCCTTCCTTGCTTCCTTGCATTGTTTGGAAGTTTTCCTGGAGTCCTTTCTGGAACTGTTTGAAGTATACTGAGAATATAATATATATATATGGTCCCGTCCTCCGTCTCTCCACCCCCCCCCATGGGTTGGGTCCCCAGGTAGCAGCCCCAATTCCCTTCTATTTGCAAGCTATTGGCAGCATTTCTGAGGTCCAGCTGCGTATTTGCTAGGTCTTTGCAGCATTTCTGACTACCAGCCTCGCATTTACTAGATACATGCTACCTTTTAGGCGGCCTACGTAGCACACATACTCCTTCAAAGTACCTACGTGCTACCTATAGTCATATATACATGTGCTATGTATCTACTGTATCTACTTCCTATTTACTACCTGTGTACTCTGACAACACTACCTGTGTTTAACATATACCGTACCTACCATACATGTCAATGATGCCGAGCATACCATACCTATCATATCTTTCATACATACCATACATACCATACATATGAAATGTAATTACCACACCTACGTACACCTACCATACATACAATAGCAAACATACATGCCATACATACCACACCTACCTTACATAGGAAATATTCCATACCCATCATAGTAACCATACATACCATACAGACCATACATACTGTCATATCAAACATACCATACCCAACAGACTTACATACCATACCTACCATCCATACAATACCAACCACTCATGCCATACATACCATACCTACCATACATACCAAACATACCATACTTTCCAAACATGCCATACCAGACCGACCATACACACCATACATACCCAACATACCATACCACACCCCCACCACACCACAGGGGGGGAGGGGGTGAAGAGGGGCCCTAGCGTCTACTTCAAGATCAGCTAAGGCGTCTTCCCCAATGACAGCACTCTTTTACTCTCAGCCTGTTGCCGGTCAGTGCTTGTCTACAGGGTTACTCTATATACCTCTTTCTTGAGCCTTGAAGGGCGCATATAAATGTGCTCAATACTCATGCATGTACCTATGTAGGTATTAGGTCGAAACAAAAACACAGGCACAAATTCAAAAGCAATGAGTAGAGCACTACGCCTTGCCGTACCCAATTGGTATTAAGAGTATCTTCCTGACTTCTCCACACAATGGCAAATAGCAAAAGAAACCGGAGTTACGCAGTGGCTTCGAATTGAAAAACACGTGAAAGCAGCGAATGTCCTAAGGACATGTCGAAAAAGAACAGCGGATTCGCTAATTTTTCCAGTAGCGACCAATGGTGCTTCGCGCACGGTCTCTCCATAGGCAAAATGCCTTGCTCTACCGGTGAAAGTTCGAATTGAAAAGTTCGGGTTCGCAAGATTCAGAAATTCAGGTCATACGAAAAACAATTGACCAAATCACGAAATAAACGGAAATAGCGGATCTCCAAAGTTGCTCATTCAAGCAAACAATGGACAAAAATCGAAGTTGGTAATTTTTGGAGTTCGCTCCATTCGGAGTGGTCTGCTCGCGGAAATTTCATGGAGATAAATGTTTATAGTCTCTCTATTTACAAGAGTATCTATTTTACATTAAATTGAAGTTCAGACACTTGTGGCATTATCTCTATCTAAAAGAGTATATGCCATCTGTGTGAAATAAGTTGAACGCACAGAAAAACTGTACACGGCTTCTCATGCTGTGTTATCTTCAATTAAAGAAGTGTACACTCACTCATCGCCACTCACTTGATCTCCATGGTCTGGACGCTGAAGAGGAGGATTCACCCCACTCTGTGTTGCCCTGATACGTCGATGCTTGATCTTCATATGCCTTTCTCTTTTTCTCCTTCTGTCTTTCCTTTCTTGAATCAGCATACTGCTTCTTCTTGTAGGCCTGTTTGTAATGATGTCGTTCATTCCATGACATATCAGAAGGATCAAGATGGATAAGAATTGGATTATGAGCATCGCGATCATTTGGAGCAACCATGAAGATGTTGTGATCACCATGTAAGCAAGTTTCATTTACCTTGAAGTAAAATTCACCCACATAGTTCATGTGATCTTCATCCTCAAAGTCTTCTGGGTGTTCCTCACACATCAAACGTGAATGACCCCACTCAACAACTGTTAACATACAACAATCACCCTTACCATTTGTCTTGTTCATGAGCTCGTCGGTGTATGTTGCTGTTGTAATGCCATCCAAGTGCGTTGCAAGAAAATCCAAGTCACGATAACTGCAAGAAATGAAATGCTTGACCCTGATTGGAGGGCAAGTTGGATCAAAATTCTTGCGCATGGCTTGTGTTGCAACACCTACCATTCTGTTAATCCAGAATTGGATAAGGCTGTGTTGATATGTAGGGACACCTGGAGATTTTGGTGTGCTGTAATAGCATGCCTTGTTTCCATCACCTGCGATGAAGTCAACTTGATATCTGGCACACTCAAAAGCCATAACAGCTAAGCTCTCACCAACAATCCCAGCAGAGTCTGATGCATACTTCTGTCCGACGTGATAAACGCACACACGTGTCATTCTCATCCTAGCTCTTGTCAAGTCAACAATCCCATCTGTATCTCGATCCTTTGTCTTTCCCCAAGATACTTCAAAGATTGCCCATGAGACTTGTCGAACTCGTGTGTCGTTGTCATCTGTGTGATATCCAGCAATTTGCTTGATATAGCCATCCTTTCCAAGGCGAGCGGCCACCATCAAGTCATGATAGTCATTGAAGCAAGTTTTGAAGTCAACCTCGTTGAGTCTTTCTCTGTGAGGATACAACGAACCAGCCTCGCAATTCATGAAAAGATGTCCTCCAAAGTTCTTGATGACATTGATGAAGTAATTGTTGAACTGTGATTTGGTTTCATCAATTTTTTCATGATCCTCATCGATAGTGTAGTCAATGTGTGGAATGAATTGTTGAAATCTTTCTGGAACCGGGCATTTTTCAAATCTATTTCTGCACCAGTTTCCCAAATTCCAAAACATTGCTGTTATCTGTGGAGAGGATCTGTATGGAAATTCAGCATCCTTGTACGTTGGGTCTGATAGGCCTCCACCTAAATACCTGTAAGCCAAGCTATGCAAGATCATACAGTAAGGCAAGACCTTGTGTTCCTCAACGTAATCTTGGAGTACCTTTGTGAGATTTCCAAAACCGTCATCAATCCTCTGTTCTGCTTCTTTTGAGGATCTTTCTGCTTTGTCTTGATGAAGAGGATGCATCCTTGGATCACTACAACCATATTCAATGCGCTGATTAAGTTCTTGTAATTCTAGTTGTGGATCCTGATTCTTGTGTCTGGCAATGTACTCAACCATCAACTGGTCATCTGTAAGATGGTACCAAAAATCATGATGTGGAGACATGGTCTTCCTGTACTTAACATGCCAAAACATATGTCGATGCTTCGAAGACGCTGGATAACCTTTGTTGTAAAAATCCTGCCCATTCACCATGGTAACCATCTGAAAAACAATCCTTCAATTTTCGAAAAACTGAATCATCTTCGTTTCCAGTGATATCTTGACCATAGTAAAGTCGAATTGCAGGTTTCACTTCAGGAGCTGTCTCATCATCTTGAATGTCTGTTTTCTTCTCCCCTGATTCCTCCTTTTCTGAGGAGCGTTCAGGTGGAGCTGATTCCTCTTTCTCTGAAGAGCCTTCAGCTGGGACATGTGGCTCCTGTGTGTCTTTTTCTTCTTCTTCTTCTTCGACAGCAATCTCCTCATCTTCATCCTCTTCTTCTTCTTCTTTTCGTTCTTCTGGTTTGACAAAACTTTCCTTGATCTTTCGTTGAACATTCTGATTGCACATACTGATCCATTTCAATGTACACTCAACCAATTTGTCATCATCAGTTTCCAAAATGATATGTTTGTCCTCAATGTTCAAACTTTCAATGGTATGCTTGTACTCAGGATCACCTGCGCCTGGTCTTTGAAGATCTGGAAGTGGAGTGTCTGGATCATCGTCCACCATCTGAGGATCCTCTGCTCCAAAGAAATTTTCTGCGCCAAGGTGTTCATTGTCCTTGAGAACTTTGTCAATATCCAGTTTGAACTCATAGTACTTGTCGTAAGAGATCTCATAACCCATCATAGGTGCATACTGCTCCATAAATGTTGAAAAGGAAGCATCTGATAATGCTGACATCATCAACCATAATGAGAAGAAGCTTATGTCACCACGTTCAAGGGGTCGACTTCCTTCAAGATCATCTTCTGTGAGGATTGTTTGGCCTTGGAGTGTAATATCATGGAGGATCTGTCTGTGCTCTGGTTTGAGTTGCCTGACTAAGAACAGTCCCTGTCGATCTTCCATATTTCTTCGAGGATTTGCATCAGGTAATACCTCACTTTCTTGTTGTGGTTGTGTTTCCTCTCTTTCTTGAGAGCATACACCTTCTTCCTCTCTTTCCTGAGAGCCTGATGCCTTTTCCTCCTCTTTCCTGACAAAAACTTGTAGTCTTGGCAAAAACTCCAAATCATCTTCAGCATCATCATCATCGTGACCTTCCATGTCCACATTCTGTTGCTCTGATCCTGGGATGTGAGCGATCTTGTCCTTTCCAGCTACCCAGATGTAGCCATCGAGCTTTGTAGATGTGTGGAAGTCACCTGAACCGCATTCCCTGACCTTTGTCCTTGCTCTTGCAGATTGATGGAATGCTTCATGCTGAAAGAATTGATTGTAGGCATGTTCAACAAAGAATCTGTAGGATTGAGCTGTCAATTCCTTTCTGCTATCCACAAATTGTCGAAGCTTGTTCAAAGCAAAAACTGTGAAATGGCTGAAGCTAGCAGGTGCTTCATCTTCATACAGATCGATTGCCATGATCATCATCTTTGTGGAAAACGAGAAATGCCGTTCAGGTTCAGGGATGACTGTTCTCTTGTTCATGGGAACTGTAATTCCTTGAATAGTCATGTCATACCCATGTGTGTTCAACTCCAGTGCATCCAAAATGTTACCATCACGGTCCTTCTTTCTCCTGCAGAAATCTCCCCAGAGTTTGTTGTTCTCTCTAATGAACTGATCAAGATGCTTAGTGTAAAAGACAAAGACTGCTTCTGAGAGATACTCCATGTCCTTCTGTATTGCTAAGTCTCTTTCGTATAGCAAGAACTTCTCTCTCCATTCGTCTCTGTTGATACTGTGTCTGTCTTCCCAACCTGTTGGGGCAGTTTGACCTCGCATCCAGTCTGTCCAATATTGTCGACAAGAGTTCAA